CGTGAGGTAACTGTTGCAGCCAGCGGGAGCTGGGAGACGACACTAAGGCTTCAGTCCAGAGAAGTGCCCCAGGGAGACGGAGGGGCGGCTAAAGCGGCCCGGGAGAGACGCCCCTTCCGTCCCGCTCCTCACCAGCATGTCGCGGACTCAGCCGCTCGTCTGCCGGCGCGGTGGGGACCCCGGGCCGTGGCGGCGGGCGCAGCCCTGACGCGCTGTGGAGCCGGGGGGCGTCCCGAACGCCAGGGCCGGGGGTCAGGGAGCGCGAGCGGCCGCTGCGTCGGAGCAGGGTGTGCTGAGCCCCACGGCCACCCCCGATCCCGGCCATGAGGAGGGACGAACGAGACGCCAAAGCCATGCGGTACCCGCAGCCTCTGGACGGGGCCGGCTCGCCCTCGGAGAGCCAGAGGAACGGCTACGTGAAGAGCTGCGTGAGCCCCCTGCGGCAGGACCCTCCGCGCGGCTTCTTCTTCCACCTCTGCCGCTTCTGCAACGTGGAGCTGCTGCTGCCCCCGCCGGCCTCCCCCCAGCAGCCGCGGCGCGGCTCCCCCTTCTCCCGGGCGCGCCTCTCGCTGGGCGCCCTGGCCGCCTTTGTCCTCGCCCTGCTGCTGGGCTCGGGGCCGGGGAGCTGGGCTGCGGGGGCCGCGCTGCTGCGGACCTTGCTGAGCGTCTGCTCGCACAGCCTCAGCCCCCTCTTCAGCATCGCCTGTGCCTTCTTCTTCCTCACCTGCTTCCTGACCCGGACCAAGCGGAGCCCCGGGCCGGGCCGGGCCGCCGGCGGCTCCTGGTGGCTGCTGGCGCTGCCCGCCTGCTGTTACCTGGGGGACTTCTTGGTGTGGCAGTGGTGGTCCGCGCCGTCGGAGGACCGGGACGCAGACGTGCCCGCGCCCCTGGCTCCCCTGGCCACGTTGGGCAGGTTGTTCTTGGTGCTGAGCTGTGTGGGTTTGCTGACGCTCGCGCACCCGGTGAGGCTCCAGCACAGCATCCTGGTGCTGCTCTTTTCCAGCTGCGTCTGGTGGGTGTCCGTCAGCAGCCTGGACTCGCTGCCTGCCGTGCTCAGGCCACTGATGTCCGGCCTGGTGGGGAGCGCTGGCTGCCTGCTGGCCCTGGGGCTGGATCACGTCTTTCATATTAGGGAAGCCCCTCAACGGCCTCGCGCGTCCAGCTCCGCGGAAGAAAAAGTGCCTGTGATCAGACCCCGGAGGAGGTCCAGCTGCGTGTCCCTCGGAGAGACGTCCGCCAATTACTACGGCAGTTGCAAAATGTTCAGGAGACCGTCGTTGCCTTGTATTTCCCGAGAACAGGTATGTTACCAGAAAGGGACAGGGAGAAGGGAGTGTGAAGCTGTCGCTCGAATTCGCGAGTTAAATCAACGGGCTTGAAAGTGTGTCAACTTTCTGGGTGGGATAAAAAAATTGAAAAAAAAAGGAAAAATAATAAGCTTTCTTCTGGAAAGAATTCTTAAAACACATAAAACTAAAAAGAAAAACAAAAAGCAGGTGCTGTTTCTCTTGAGATTGACATGAAATAGACCAACCATGTACTTTTGTAAGACTTTGTTTAGGCAGCCGATAAGTTCTTAGAAGAAATGAAGTGCCTATTTGTGGCTTAGTTAATAGATTGCCTACTCCTGCTTTTGCTTATGTTAATGGACTACTATATTTGGGGTGCCTTTTATCTGTTGCAATTGTGATGATGGTGTCTCCCCAGTGATAACATAAAGCCATTAGAGTGAATTTGTATAAATCTATACAAACACTCATATGTTGTTGTTAAGTGCCATCTTCGAGTCCTATCTTACTCACAGCGACCCTGTATAGGGTTTCCGAGGAGGACCTGGTGGGTTTGAACTACCAACCTTGTGGTTGTCAGTCTAGTACTGATACTACAGCGCCACACCAGAAGTCCATATATACATATGGTGGTGGTGTGTACTATGGAGTCGGTTCCGACTCAGCAACCCTAATTGGGTTTCCGAGGCTGTAAATCTTTACAGGAGCAGAAAGCCTCATCTTTCTCCCGCTGAACGGCTGGTAGTTTCAAACTGTCGAGATAAGAAGCCTGACTCATAAGCACTACGCTACCAGAGCTCCTTTCCATATGCATATACTAGTGTTATATGTGTGTATTATATATATGAATTTTAATCAGTGCCATTTTGTTATTAATGCTCGAGAGTTGGATTGAAGATCTTACAATTAGAAAAACACTAATGAGCTTTTGAACTGAGACTTCTTAATTTAGATGAAAAGACTGTTGGAAATATTTTAAAAGAAATTTTAATTCAAATTAGTTTCAGCAGTATATCCATACCATACCTACTGCCATCCAGATTATTATTTACAGCAACCCTATAAGGTAGAGTAGAGCTACGCCTTAGGGTTTTTGTGGCTGTAAATCCTCTGAAACCTCATCTTTCACTCAACAATATCAGCTGTATAGGCTACTGCAAGTTAGTTTACAAACTAACTCATGGTTCACTGTGTTATGTAATTAGGAGAAGGCCTTTTAACAATACAACTTTAAATTTAGTAATATCTGGCAAGATGTCAAAAGCATTTCTAATTTTTTCTTAGGTTTAGATGATTTTAAAGGAATTGGAAATCTTAAATCAGGGGTGAGCCTATACTTTTATATAACCTTGGGAAATCTACCTGTTTTATATCAGTAGAAAATGCAGTATGATGGATTACTTTTATATGTCTGTTCTCAAAATAGTTTTGTAACACCCACCAAATGAATGGGTGGGGTTATGCAAATGTGGTGATTATGGCCCACTGAGGGGATTGGATAGCTTGCTGATAATGCAAATAAGGTGAGGATGGGGGTCATGCAAACAAAGTGTATGGAATGCTAACAAGGGGATTAAACAGTTTTGCCATCCTGCTGAGCTTCAAATGATCCATCCTAGAGGCAGATGGGAACCTTGCTAGCAACAAGAGAGAGGAGCTAGGAGCTAAGAGCAGTACTTTGGGCCTGGGATACCTATGCTGAGAACCTCCTAGACCCAGAAGACAGAGAAAAAGACCTGTATGTAAAGCAAGAGTTGATAAGATGCAGTGGCGGAGAAATGGCAGCAGCAGAGGTCGCAGAACCAGGAGATGGGCAGGGGACAGCACGGTGGAGCATTACATAGAGTGAGAAAGTTGAGTGTCTTTGGGTAGGTGGCTTCTTGGTGGCATAAGGTGCTTCTGGGAACTTATCAGTGGAGCTAAAGAGTATTTTTTAAACCCATGCCCGAGCAGGACAGAGGCCTACTTGTGGACATGGTTAAGAAACTGCCTTGACTGAAGAGCTGTATCTCAAGTTGTTTCTTATCCTGAATTGTAACTGGTTCCTTAATAACCCCATAATTGTGAGTATGGTCTGTGAATTCTGTGTGGACTCTGACGTGGAATTTTGAATCCAGCTGAGAAGTAGAGTGCTGTGGGAAGAGGGATAGTTGGTGTCAGAATTGGTAAAAAGGTTGGAGAGAGATGGTATGTCTGACCTCTGCTTCATAGGAATCCACCGAAGACTGATGCTGGTGGTGATTCTCTTCCCCTCTTGTGAAGTTAGAGGAGGTCAGATACCCTCTGCCACGCCATTTTTTCCCCAGGAACTTAGTAGGTATAGCCATTCATTGTTCATTGACTGCTAAATGCAAAATGTTTTGCTTATGTTATCTGAATTCCTCACAAGAGCCCTGTATGGTGTTAGGTGACATTAACTTCATTTTAGATGTGAGACCATTGAGTTTTACAGAGGTTACCCACTCTTACACATCTAATAAGTGGCAGTTTGAACCTAAAATTTTTTTCAGTTCTCAATGCTGTGTGTTCTGCACAATGAAGAAGTTTTTGTAGAGGTTTTAAGTAGAACTTTATGTAAACCATTAGTTTCCATACACTTGATTACTACGTTTTACATTGGGACCTAGTAAATTTGAAACAATTTTCTTGGCCTTACTACATCAGATGTTCCTTTACCTCCTTCTCCTTCAAAGTAATCTACAAGCTACTACATTGATTTTTATGACATGGTAGATTAATAGAAACTCTCAGTGTTAAACACTGATCTGTTCTGCTCTTATGAGATGACACTTTCCTTCCTGAAAAGGCTTCAGAAGCCTATTTTGTTTTCTGTAGTTATTTGGTCAAATTCTTGAGAAATGTTGTTAGGCCTTTTTTTTTCTCAGTTTGCCACCACTGATAACTAACAATGCTTAAGAAAATGTCTATCAGAAGAAAAGTTGTGAGAGAGGGCTCACTGTAGAGCAAAGTAGTCCCAGCTGTTTTTCTAGAATGGAGTAAGTAGCATTTGGTGTTTGGCTGTATGTGACTAGGCTGCATTTTTTTTTTTTAAACTGGAAAAGTGTTGTAGCACTGTTTCGTCACATGGGTTGGCAATTTTCCTGAATTCAGCATCATTACAGTTTAATGTATTTTAATCATAATTTATTGGTATAGTCAGTTATGTCTGTTTTCTTGCAAACTGAAATGCTTACTCTTCTTAATCCTAATGTGGTTCTCTTTCGGTCATACAACCTTCTCAGCCTTTAAACTAGAGTGCAGTGTTGCTGTTTATGCTAGGTAGCTTCATCTTACGTTTGTATCAGAGGAAAACACAATTTGTACTTCTAAAAGGCATATTTTCTTAGTGCCAGAAAATCGTTATTCACACTATACTCAGAATGGGAACTTTTTGGGATCTTATGTGCTAATAGTTTAGAGGTTTGCTTATGGTAAAGAATAGTTTTAATTTAGTAGGGATTGTAACAGCAAGAATTTTTACTTGGTATGTTTTCTTATGAAGTTTAACAGTGGATCTATGGTTTTGTTTGTATGTATGCTGATGATATCAATACTTTTATAGAAGTAGAAGATCAGGAGACTTTCTAATTTTCAGAGTGCTAAACTTTGTATATAGCTTTGTAAAAACATTGTTTTGTTTCAAAAAAGTGAGAGAAGACTAAAAGATTTTGAGTAGAACCTAATATAGGAGAAAATGCCCTGGCTTCAGAGGCAGAAAATCCCAGCTCAAGTTCTGGCTGGACTCTGGTCTCTTGGAAAAACTAGTAGCCTTTTTGAGTTTGGTATCCTTAGATGAATTCTAAAATACCTTTCAATGCTAAAATGCATTCATTTCAGTTCGTTTGCACATTTTACAAAGTGCGAATACAATTATACATAATTATAAAACTACAAATTAGTAGTTTTTGAAATTTTACTTAAATGTTGAATGCGCTTATCACTAATCTAATACGTAATAATTGGAAGCAAATATGGGAAAATAGTTGGAAATAATAATGTTAATATGTAATAATTGGAAAATGAAAAAATTTCTTTATTTTCAGGATAAAACTGTTGCTATTTACTGTTGGTTGGTTACAACTCCTGGTGAACCCATGTGTGCAGAATAGAATTGCTATATAAGGTTAGCCCTCTCAGCCATTGCCCCACTCAACACTCCTTTAAAAAGTATATGTGAGTTAATTTCTGCGATGATTACAAAATTATTAACGCTTTTATTTGCTTAAGACTTTAAAAGTGTCAGTTAACATTTTAGAAAACCACTTGGATTCCTCGTCAACATGAATACTTTTAATTGTGTGAGAATAGATTTAAAGTAAGTGTTAATGTCTAGGATGTTATGTGAGGTGCCATATTAAAAAATGAGGACGTATTTCTAAAACATCAGATTTTCCTAATTAGATTTTTAGTATCTACTGTTAAGTGTTGTTTATGTTCACTTCTTAATTTTTTTTTTTTTTTTTATGTAAAGCATTTAGAAATTTGAAGTTTAAATTTAGTTACTGATGACTATGTTGTGATTTGTAGTATATTTACCAGGGGTCAGCTGCAACGAATGGGAAGTTTAAAAAAAAAAAAAAATCAGTTGTTGACATAGAAGTTTTGACCAGAACTTTAGAACTGTGTTTTTATGCAATTTTAATTGTATATTCTACAACTTAATTTTGAGCTTTCAACCAGATCATTTTGTGTATGATAGATTAGGTAAATATGAGGTTTTGAAAGACATGAGTTAGTGTGTGAGATATTTCTCTATACCTAAAATGTAAAATGCTAAAGTGTTTTTAAATGGTTAGGTAAATATTTAAAAGTTTTGTGGCCTTAAAGCCAATAAATATTATTAAAAGTGTTAATTTTATTTGAAAAGGTATACACATGTAGTGTGAAGTCATTAAAAAAAAAAATTAAAAATTTAAGTGATATTAACCGCCCTCTGCACTCCCTAAGGAATTTGCAAGGCATTGCATACACCACTGTGAATTTCTTTAACTAAGTGCTGTTGTTAAGTGCCA